ACCAAGGGATCCACAAAATTATAAGGACAAGCAAGTCCTTTTGGATGTTTAGCTAAAACAGGATATGAGGACTTAATGTTAATGGAGGATTTTACAAATAAGTAAATGAAATGCCAGCATGTGGTTATGTATTGAATCTTGGTATACTTAAAGATGAAGGATGTTTAAATAACTCTAGTCAAATAAAAGTAGAGGTATGATGATGTTAATATAGTAAATATTTAAGATATTTGAATTAATATGAACTATATTTGATGACGGTGGAAGAGATGCACAAAAGCTTTTTGTAACCAGCTGATATACTTTCTATAATATATGTTTGTTTTGAAAATAAATTAAAAAATTTTTTTTAAAAAAAAGGACAAGCAAGTGCAAGGCCAGATTTGATCAGTAGAGTTAGGATAGAATATGGAAAGAAGAGAACAGAATAAGGAATAGAATAGAGTGGAAAGAGTAGAACAATATAATAGAATAAGGAATAGAATAGAAAAGGGAGGAGGAGGAGGGAGGAATAGAATAGAACATTGAAAGAAGAGAACAGAATAAAGGGAAGGGAATATAGAAGGAATAGAACAGAATGAATTTCCGTTACTGGAATAGAATAGAATTGGAAGGGACCTTGGAGGTCTTCTAGTCCAACCCCCTGCTTAGGCAGGAAACCCGATAACCGTTTCAGACAAATGGTTATCCAAAAAAACTTCCAGTGTTGGAGCATTCCGGAGGCAAGTTGTTCCACCCATCTTTTTCAGACATGCGGTGGTTAGCCTCCTCTCCCATCCCACCCACCCATCCCCCCAGTTGTGTTATCTTCCAAGCACAGCAGGCTGCTACTCCTTGCTTAATCAAAAGTTCAGTTTAACACAAGGACTCACAAGACACACAATTTGTAAGCAAGCATACCAGACCGGCAAGTGTTAAACTTTTTATTTATTTATTGTGCATCGTTATGCAGCAGAACAAATGGATTGAAAGCATATATACTTCACCACCACCACCCAAAGTATTAAATCCTAGTAACAAAAAAAATCTCCTTAGGATTAAAAAATAGCATTGTGTTTTTCTAAAAAAATGTTTACTTCCCGGGGGGGAAAAAAAAGATTTCGCTTGGTGTCATTTAAAAAAAAAACAATTCACATATGCTATATAGAGATTTTCACCCAAACACAACTAGGCTCTATTACATTGCTCACTTTGTACAGCATCAAGTGGTTTCTTTTTGTGTGTGTGTGTGTCTATCCCTAAGTTTGTGATATACCGGTTCCTTATTTAACACCAGACAAAATTCTTAATATAATCGACGCACACTTGGTAAACAATAGAAAAATATCGGAAGAGATGAATTCTAGGCTAGCCACAAATATATATATATTTTTCCTCCTAGAAAATGGAAGGAAGTCACGTTGGCACTGGTGTGTGCATCGCAACGATTACAGCTACAAAAAACGTGAGGAAGATTTTGTGATCAAGAGTGAGTAAGGCAGTGGATTTCTTCCTAAAAGGACACTGAAATCATAGACTAGATTCCATTGCAGTCGGTCGCTGATCCATTGAGATCCTGCCATTAAACAAACCAGGGTTCTCTCGGGGGATTTAAATCCTCTTTGGGATTTAGACAGACAGTCCTCGACTTACAACCACAACCGAGCCCCAAAATTTACCGTTGCCGAGTGAGAAATGGGCTGAGTTGAGTTTTGCCCCGTTTTACGACTTTTCTCGCCGTTGTTGTTAAGTGAATCACTGCAGGTGATAAACGACAATTGTTAAGTGAATCTGGCTTTCCCCCCCCCCTCCCTCCATCGACTTTACTCGTCGGAAAAGTGGGAATCCCGTGATCCTGGGACGCTGCAACCGTCGTAACTGTGAGTCAGCTGTCAAGGATCCGAATGTAAACCGCCCGATGAGCCTGGGGGGGTGGGGACACACGCTGCCATGGTCGTTAAGTGTGAGAAGTGGTTGTCGGTCACTTCAGTGCCGTTGCAACTTTTGAATGGTCACTAAGCGAAGTGTCGTAAATCGAGGACTGCCTGTACTTTGTGCTTTAGGGAACTGATTGCAATGCCTTGGGAGTTACCCAAGGAGAGAGAGAGAGAGAGAGAGAGAGAGCGCTGCCTCTCTTTGTCCCTTTGAGGTAAAAGGTTCAAACTTGAACTATCGGGGACACCGAAAGACACGCGAGGACAAGCGAGGGGCTCCCCCAGGGGGACCCCCTTCGGCTGAGGCCTCTGCCCAGCTCTTCTCCCAAGGAGAACCTCGGCCACGGGGGCTCCAGGCCTTGGGACTATGGGGATTTTCTAACTTCCAGACTTCCCCCAGCCAGCCCCAAGTCCTGAAAGGGACAAGATTCACCCCCTTACCCTTCCTTTCTTTTCCTTTTCCTTTCTCTCACCTCCCTTCCCTTCCTTTTCTTTCCATTCTTTTCCTTCCTTTCTTTTCCTTTCCTTTTCCTTTTCCTTCCTTTATTTTTCCTTTCTCTTGCTTCCCTTCCGTTTCTGTCCCTTTCTTTCTTTTCCTTTTCTTTTCCTATCCTTTTCCTGTTCCTTCCTTTCCTGTTTCCTTTTCCTTCCTTTCCTTTTATTTTTCCTTTCTCTCCCTTCCCTTCCTTTTCTGTCTCTTCCTTTCTTTTCCTTCCTTTCTTTTCCTTTTCCTTCCTTTCCTTTTCCTTCCTTTCCTTTCCCTTCTTTTCCTTCCTTCCTCTTTTCTTCCTCCCCTTCCTTCCCCTCTCTTCCCTATTTTTTCTTTCCTTCCTATTTTTCTTTCTCTTCCCTTCCTCTTTTCTTCCTTCCCTTTCTTCCCCTTTCTTCCCCTTTCTTCCCTATTTTTTCTTTCTTTCCTTCCTTCCCTTCCTATTTTTCTTTCTCTTCCCTTCCTCTATTCTTCCTTCCCTTTCATCCCTTTTCTTCCCTATTTTTCTTTCCTTTCTCTTTTCTTTCCTTCCTTCCCTTCCCTTCCTATTTTTCCTTCTCTCCCCTTCCTCTTTTCTTCCTTTCCTTCCTTCCCTTCCCTATTTTTTTCTTTCCTTCCCTTTCCTTCCTTCCCTTCCTCTTTTCTTCCTTCCCTTTCATCCCTTCTCTTCCCTATTTTTTCTTTC